CGATTGGAATTCGTGACCAAATCCCGTGATTCTGAATAAGGAGATTCGTGACGTAATCAAGAGCTCTAATCCGACACCATCGCTAAGAACCCAATTCACCCTGGTTACTCGGACCAAGTCTTTCCACGCCTCGATCGTCGCCTTGCCACTACTAAGGGTTTGGTTGTAATAGTTGTGGTGTTCTGTTTAGAGTAATTTAGTTAGTTTTAGTATTATGTTGTAGTGTGTATTGGTGTCATCCAGAACCCGAGGATTATTTAGCCTTTCTCAACGTACGTACATACAAGATTCTATTGTTATTGGGTTTTACATTAATATTTATGCTAACGCTAACGTCAACCTTTTTCAGTAATTAATTTAGAACACACCTAAAATTTAAAATATACAGGTTATGCTTTACTGCTATTGACAATCGATACCAGGAACGGAGTGAAACGAAGAGTATGACCTACCCGTGTGAGAAATGGTGTACGGGTGCAAAATCTTTCATTTTATTGGTCAGCGTGATCATAACTATCACAACGCCTCAAGTTTTCACATGAAGCAGCAACACAGTGAATTCTTAAATCGCGTTAATCATGTTTAAACAGGTATTGAAAATCGATTGTAATATAAAATAGTAAAACCGATTACTTATAACTCTGGTCAAATTTGCAGATCGCTTAACCAAATTCGGAATTGGATTTGGCCAAACGATTTGCAAATTTGACCAGAGTAGCCTCAATCGGGTAACCGATCTTTATTGCACGGGTCTTATATGAGCGTGCACTTATTTGTGCGAGTGATACAAATCCAAAAAGGGAAATTAGCCAATCGGAGAACGTAAAATGTGATTATCCCGGATCAGTCCGACACGTGAGCGAAGCGAAGTAAATCACGAAAAAAAAACGAAAAAAGCGAAAATACAAGAAACTGAGTGTTTAAAACTGTCTTTGGTCACTAATTAAAAGTGACGGAAATGAAGTTTTACGTATAGGAGATAAATGTTTATTTCTAAGCATCTAACTTTAGTGTTCTAACCCTAAATTTTTATTTTCACGAACTTAGTTTATTTTTACGTTGAATTTTGTATCACTCGCACAAATAAGTAAATCCCTTATATGACAACCCGTGCTTTTTTTCATTTGGTTATTGCACGGGATTGTTATGTCAGACACCGTGCAATAAGATAGTTATTGTTTGGGTATATTGAATATCCCAGTTATACACACGGGTTCATATCCGTGGCCTTCGGCCACGGATATGAACCCGTGTGTAACTGGGATAATCACTACATACCCATACAATAACAATAATGACCGAATAAATTCGGGTTAACCGGTTGAGCAAAACGCTTAATATTAATCGGTTGACCCGTAATAATCAGTTGACATGCTTGACCCAGCATAATCGATTGACCCGGTGTAATCGGTTAACTGGTTAACCTAGTACGTTACATAACATTTTTTTTTACAGTAAATAATAATACAAATCAATGCCCTATCGAACGTTAATTCTAACTAATCCACTTACCTTTTTTGTTACCTACTTTTTTGTCATCTATATAGGATGTAAGTTCTTTACATTTTTTTGTTTTTTGGGTCCGCCTCATTTCACTGACACTCATTTCGTAGACATAGCATTTCACTGACAACCAATTCACCAACACCAATTCACTGATACCAACAGCTCAATTCAATTCACCGACACTCACCTCAAGTCAAACCCGAAATAGCATTTGTTGATGCTATCTCATATGCTAACTATAGAATATTTCCCATTACAATGGGTTACAACGAGTTGTCTTTATTTAATATGATACTTTCATATTTACTATTCATACCGTTTAGTTACATGAAATCAATAAGTTTTATACATGATGGGCTTTTGCTACTACGATTAGAATCTTACAAGCAATATAACTATTTATACTGTAGTATTGGTGGAATTCTATGACTAACGGTGAGTAATTCATATTTATTTACATGACTATAATTTTAGTTCCCTCCATTTGAATACCAGAGACACTTTACTATTGCATCATGGAGCACTACATTTAGTACCCCCCTAGAATTGTACCCTACAAGATTAAAACCTCATTACTGTCGTTTAATTTCAATTATATTTGTGTAGTTATTTTCATTCAATAAACATGACCTTTGTCTAAAAATCATTCGAAGTATTTCCCATTGGATTTTATCTTTTCCCTCGCATAAAATCACCGGGTACAAATCAAGTTAGCCAGTATTTTTTGATTTGTACCTCGGGTATTGAATGCAATGCTTTACGGTACTTCAATAAAACTTCGCCTCGAGCCAATCAAAATTAGCATTATTAAATACTTACGCTCTTGTCAATCAATGAGAATTAAGGTCCCGATTCTTATAACTTTGGGTCACGTATTCTTGTCCAGGTTGCTTTACACCATTATAGCGCGCATAAAATGACCATTGCAAATTTGCTTTTATATATACCTTTTAATCACATTTAGCATTTAAGTACAAACACATTATTTGTTTATTATATAATATTGTTTTATATTAATTTGTTTATAATGCTTAGGCAATGAGGCTGCCTATATATCATATAATTAACACTATTCTGAATAGTTTATACAATAAATCAAAAAAAGTATTTAAACAAAACAATTAAGCTAATAATTTCTAGACTGATAATATAATATTAATTTCTATATAAATTTCTTATCTTTTAGTAAATACATTAAACCTTGGTAACGAAGTCACCACATGTGCAAGTTCTAGTTATGTATTGTTAATCAATAATCGAAGTTATTATTTAATTTTAGTATAAGCCTCTTTTAATTTGATTCTATTGGTTTGAATATAAGTGTATAAATGCTTATCTAAAATTTTATACATGTGTAATATAACAATACTATACAATACAATATGCTCATTTCTAGCTCCCTTCGAACAACTCAAGCGTCTAGTTAAGTTTATTTAAAAAATATATATAATTTCGATTTTATAACCTGAAAATAAGCTATCTCTTTATTAAGCGCCAACTTCTTAAAAAGTCATAACCCCTGAAAATAAGCTACTTTCAGTTTTTTTACTTAAAATTGCCCAAAAAAAGGTAGCTTATTTTTGGGAATATACAGTAGCTAGCAATATTGTGCTTATTATATTCTTATTAACTAATAATATTATGCTTATTATATGCTTTTAACAATATTAGCAAATAAATACATTTATTAAAGACGATTTCTATTTGTACACTAGTATATGAAACACAGATATATAGAAAGCTAATTAGGGTATACAATCAGGTGTAACGTCAAATTATTGCTTTCTTTAAAAAATCGGTTATAACTCAAAATTTCACTTATGAAATCATCTTTTTAATATTAATTAAAAAAATTCCTTGCGAAATTTTGGTGTAAACTATTCACCCTGCCCTGTTCCAAGCCCACCTTTACCCTAACCTTAGATAGTACTTAACTTTTCGTTTATTTAAACTGTTTTGATTTACACATTACACAGATTTGCAAATTAATATCCGTATACAATACAC